TAGAGAATTATCTCGGTCTTTATAACTTAGTAATGACTAGTTCCTAAATAAGTTGCTAAAAAAAAATCATGAAGACAAAGTTCATATGTTGCTATATTTATTCCTATATTTATTAAAATATTTTCTAAATATCGAAATACAAACTGATTACGGCAAAATTGTGAAGTGGGGAAGTAATACTGTAATAATTTGTTTGCATTTTGATATTTTGAAAGAATTTTTTTTCTCGTTGTTTTAAAACTAGGTTTACGCTTGGTTTACCTGATCTCATTTTTCTCTAAACTTAAAATTTTAAAAAAGCAATCGAGATGGAACATAAATTGACCCGGAATTATAGATTTAAACGGTAGTAAACAAACAAAACATACAAACATAAGAAAAGAGTAGGGGGCGTTCAGTGGCGGATCCAGTGGGCCCCCCCCCAAAAAAAATAATACTAATATTTTTTTTAATAGTTTCCAAAAAAAAAATTTTTTTTTAATTATTTAAGGGGGCATATACACCGAGGTAGGTCAGAAAAATCGATTTTTCCCCCTTCTAATTACGTTCTTCACTATTTCAAGATCATGATCCAAAAGATTAAAACGAAATTCGTCATAGTTTCATTGTAAACATTAATAATGTTGCAGCGCACCGAGCGCATTGACAGATTTGCCAAAGTTTCTAAAAAACGCGTTACATTTATAATTTAAAGATTTTGAATACTTGAATTATTTATACATTTCTATTGTTCATTACGAAAAAAATTAATGGGAAGACTAGCATTAAAAGTCCCAGTTTTCTTTTTTTTTCAGTAAGATATTTAAAAAAAAAATTTTTCATAAAAAAAATTATTGTGTATGTGGGGGGGGGGGGATCTGAGTCTATGCCCCCCTCCAGGAATGTTTTTTTGGATCCGCTTCTGGTGGCGTTGTTGAATTTTCTTGTATTGTAACTGGACCTTGAAGTCGACCAGAGAAATGTTCTAAAATGCTCAACGCGTTAATAGAGTCATAAATTAATAGAGAAGGTGTTCACATCAAATAGATTTTCGCTTTTTTTTCAAGGTCAAATCCACTTTTTTTTTATCGTATCAATTATTATTAATTTATTATTTTATTATTAATTTCTTTAGTAATCGTGGAATTTAAATTTAATTTTCTTCATTAAGTGATTCGAAGCACTTTCTAATTCAGCTATGTGAAGAAAAGTACTAAGTGACATTGAGAAAAAAAAAGTCAGATTTTGTGTTTAAAAACAAGTTATTTTATGAAAGTTAATTATTTTCTGGCAACTTAGAACCTTCTTCTACTAAGCTCAACTGTGAATTGTAACTAGATAGTGTAACAGCTTTTGTAAGCGCATGTTAACACTGTAATCCTTTTCTCTCTTTCTCTTTTCTAAGTCGCAGTTATTATTTTTAGGTATTCATTTCCTTAAGGATTTATCTTTGGTGACACTTAATAAGTGTTCAGTTACTTTTTGTTTATTTAAGTTCGATTGCTTTTAATGATCAGAAAATAAGCTTTCGGTTGCATTTTTATTTTCTAGTGGATTAATTATTATTATTTTTGCTATGTCAGGAAGAGAAAAATTAGCTTGCTTCATTATTATTCAACTCATTTGCATTCACCTAATGTTTTACTAAATATAATTGTAATAATACTTTTTTTTCGAATGTCACATGATTTTTTTTTTTTTTAATTTTTCAAGTGTAAGTTAAGTGTAAAAAAAAATATTTATTAATTCTGAAGAATTAAAATTTCTTTTAAAATCATAAATTCGGAGAATCTTCGTATTTTAGAAGCACAAACTTCAATGTATTGTGAAAATATCTTCGAGATGAATTCGCGAAATTTGTTAACAGTGTTCAAAATGTTAATAAAAATCTGCGACTTAGAAATTAATGGTATTGTTGTCATTCCCTGGGAAGGATAGCTACGAAGTCTTTTTCTTTTTATACCGCATTTAACTGTTAAAATATTTTCAACTTGATATTAGAGATTATATTCATTTCGCATAAGCTGTCTAGACACTACGCGTAAAAAATATATATATATCAAATTTATTTTATCTCAACTTAAAGCCCTTTATGTAATTATACTCATCGCATAAATATTTACTCCATTTACAATGAGTGAACTTATTTTGCGTATAATGTTTGGCTCACATTCAAAAACTGTCATTAAGTAGTTCTTTCTTTTACTTTACTTTTTAAATAATTCATTAAAATTATCTTTTAAACTTCACACATTTTTGTTGAATGTAGCTGGTTTGCTACCCAAAAGTCATTTCAGAATCTTTTTTATTTTATTTTATTTTATTTGTTTACTTTTTAAGTTCAGAAATAAATCTTTAAAATTTAGCATTAGAAAACGAATAAAGAAATGCGTTATTTAAAAATCGTTAGATAAAAATATTATGTTCGTCTCCCTTTCCAGAAAATTTCATAAAGAATATTTTCATAAAGTAAGTTTTAACGGGACTGATTTAGGAACAAGAAATTCTAAACAGCGTGAATTTATTAACAATGCGATTTTGCTTTAATACATACAAGATGCAAGGAGACGGGGTTTTTTATGCATATTTTAGTGGTTACAGCTGTGAATGTAATCGTTAACATACGAGGAAAATCTCAAACTTCAAACGACAACTCTATTTTATTTGTCAGCGTGACATGGCAACAAGCAAAAATAAGTGGAAGTGGGACAGACGATATGAGAGGTAGTTTTTTTCTTCGTTGCAGACGATAGTCAGGCTGGAATTCAAAACGAACAATTTACAAAGAAATAAAGAAGAGGGAGAATTTTTTTTTTTTCTTCTCCTTTCATCTATCTCCTTTGCAACCATGGCAGATGTAAAGAAACTTGGAACTTCCAAAATCTAAGCTGAGAAAAATCAGCTATCCTCTTCGCTGACGTGAGTCAAATAAATACAGACACTTCGTTGTGGTCCTCTGCTTTTTACTTTTTTATTTTTTCTCTCTCATTCAATATGTTTTAGTTGTATTTTGATGGTTATTTTTTTTAATACCATCCTCGCTGAATCCAGTCAAGCAGTCAGTCCTCTCTTGGTAATCAGTCACACAACTCGTGCCGTGGGGTGCATGAAAAAAGCAGTCACGTGACAATGAAAAATAAAAGGGAGGGCGGAATCATGGAACCCGCACTCACTAGAATCTTTTTTTCTCTCTTTCTCATGCAACAACGTCACAGCTTTTGGTGAATTTGAACTCCTTATTTGGCGATAAATCTTTTATTTTAACTTGCATTTTTGTTGTTTTTGCAACAGAATAAATAAGATTAAGAACGTCAAGAACAACAGAATAATTAATTGATTCAATTCGAATTGTTAATTGAATGCATCTCAAGTAAAATAAAGGACATTTATTTAAATCTATTAAATGAAAATAAATAAAAATTTATAATTCAATTTGAGCAGAAATTTGATATAAAAGAAAGTAACTTACATAAAATGATTTTAAATTAAATTTTAATTTATAACATGACCCCACTTCCTGCTTTATTCGCTCAAAAACACTAACGATCACCTCACAATAATTTTTTATCGTTGATAACTTACAAATTGTTTCATCCAAATTAAAAATTATTCTATTAAAAAATATCTAAAAAAAATTATTGTATTATAACAGATTTAGTTTCCTATTCTATTGGGATTAAATTTAAACCTGATGATTATGCTCGGTTGCGCTGAAACTTCATTGTTTAATTGTTTCTATAAAAACTCATTAAATATTTTTTGCCAAAGAGATATATCATAACAAAAAGTTAATTCTCGATATTAAACAGTTAAAAATCTAATTCAATACTCTAATTGCATACTTTGACTGATCACTGCTTTGCATAAAATTTATAATAAAGGGATGGTCTATTAAAAGAAATAAAACTTATTTGCAATTTAAATTCTAAAACTGTAAATAAACGTGTATTTTCTTTATAACATATTGCATGATAAGGTAATATTACTCGATTTCTTTACAACATAATAGCGTAAAACACTTTTAATTGTTGTACATTTTGAAAAATGGAAAATTGAAAAAAGAAAACACGGTTTAATATGAACTTATATCCTTATTTAAATCTTGCGAGTGTCTCATCTTCAAATTTTTTTTGTTTCAGTCAGTTTAGATTATCTTTAAAATACTGTTTTAATTTTGGTTTAGAATTGATACAAATCCGATGTGCATTAATGCTCAAGTACTGCACAATAATGCGATAAATAATAAAAAAAAATGATAGAAAAATTTTAAATTTCTGATTTTTAAAGCAAACAGCTTACAACAGTTCATTTCATTTGTTTCCTTAAAAAGTTTTTTCCTTTCATAATTTACTTATTGCGTACTGATATAAAATCATTCTTACTGATACTTACTATAAACAATCTTCATAATCAGTGATATGTAACAACCTTTATATATTTTACTTTATTTAAATATTAAATTTAAAGCTTAAGGAAAGTTATTATTATTAATATTTTGCTTCAAAAAAAATTTTTTTTTGTTGAGAAAAGTAATGATTTAAGAGAAAAAGGCATTTTACATTAGATTTTTAAACCAACTAAATGTAGCATTTCTTTAAAAAAAAAAAGAAAAAAGAAATATGGGTATTTAGTCATTTTTCCCTATTAGTTTTTCTAATTATAAATGTTTAATTTTTAATTAATTTATTAATTATTATTGTCTCATTTAGACTTACATCAAATCAAATCCGATTTAGTTATTATATCTCAGTTGATTATTTAAATGAAAAATAAATAATATGGCTAACTCAAACATGATAATATTTCAATCAGTCTAAAAAAATAAATTTCTCTAAATGGTTCTACCTAGCGTGACAATAATGAGTGAGTTAATTTCGTCATTTAATTGCTATTGGCGTAAACTTAAAACAAAACGTTTTTACAAAAAGGTTCCCTTTTTCGCAATTATTTTGGCGATATTAGTGAGCAAACGAAATATTTGGCGACAGATTTCTTCTCTACCGAAAAACTCTTTACGGCAACCCTCAGTAAGGCGCCGTTGACGATCTGTGTTCGACAGAATGCGGCCGCCATAAGATGTAGCTATAAGCGGCAGTATGTGATGTTGTGTTAAATACTTTTTATTCAATAAAATTTATTTCAAGGTTTAAAAGTGATAAAACAAATTTTTGTTTTTCGAGTTTTTAACAAATTGTGGATTATTCTCTTACTTGGATCCTACAGCTTTCTTAATTAGTGGATTTTATCTTTCTCTTCAAGCCGCTCCCTGTTTTGTGGATTTATTGGTGTAGAAACCGAAATTTTTCTAAAAATTCCATTCATTAAGTAATTTTAAAGTTCTTGTGATATACATAATCGTTTTTTAAGATCATTTTCGCCAGTGATATTTGTAATTGATGTTTATATTTGCTTCAGAAATCAAGATGACGCTACCTCCCAGGATTATGGATATTACTGTTGGTGATAACGCTACTTAAAAAAAGTATATTTGAGTCAATGTCTTCAATTATTTGCTAAAATTTTGCACCCTTTTGGATTACTGTGTGTCTACCAAGTAACTATGTGTTTAATATGTGTTAAAACATCTTTAAGAATAATGATTGATCTTACGCGTTCTTCTTCATGTCTACGTAAATAGTTTATTCCATATTCAAGTTTGTGATTGATATAATTGTTTTAACTACTCTCATCTGTCTGCATGTAACTGCAACTTTTTTAACTCAAAAGACGCCCAACTCCAGGTCAACGTATTTGTGGGGTTGCTGGTAACACGTTGCGGACTACTGACGCAGCTTTAATTAACTAGAACTCGGTACGTATAATTCAATTATTGCATAGACTTTGAATGTATATTTTTGTTTTAATAATTGTTTTACATTATTTTTATTTTGTTATATTTGAATTTTCGTAAACTCTTAAAATTATTTCCGAATGTCTTTTTGCTTTTAAGTTTTAAAAACGTACCTTTTCATAAACCTAACTTAACTAACGTAGAACTCGGTGCGTATATTTCAATTAATATATAGATTTTAAATACATTTTTGTGTTTTAATAATTGTTTTACATTATTTTAATTTTGTTATATTTGAATTTTCGTAAACTCTTAAAATTATTTCCGAATGTCTTTGATTTTAAGTTTTAAACGTACCTCTTCGTAAACCTAGCCTAACTAACGTTTCCTTATTTTCTTTTGTATAGTTTTTTTAACCAATCAATAATCTTTTTATCGTATTTTTTAAACGAAATAGCTAATTAATGGTTATTTGATAATAATTACCCTTAAATTAAAATAAGGTTTCATAGGAAAATTTATTAAAATTAAATTTTATTTTTATTCTTGCTGCCCATGTAGAAGAAAGTTATTTATTTATTATAAATATTTGTTTAAATTTGTACACTTTTATTTTCCCGCTTTTTTTTAACTCATTTATTTTAGTTGTAACGTTATTTTCATTTCAGCTTGTAGAATCAGTAAAATACATCTTCTCTTTCTAGAGAATCTGTTAATTTTTATGAGATACATATTTATCTTACCTGAAAATTTAAATTTGTTGAACGCGTAATTGCTCGTCAATAACCACAGCTTTTATCTAATGAATGTGCAAAAATTTATAAGTAAATGTGCTGATAGACGATGTTGCATTTTAAAAATAAATTGTTCCCTGGATGAAAGTTAAAAAATGCAAATTTTCGGTATTGTGAATTTTTATACTGTAGTAAGATTTGACGTTTGTCGCTAACAGCTGAGCCAACTTGAATTTTCGATGATTTCGCCATAATATTTAAACATAGATTGATTAATCTAGAAATTATTAATATCCGTTAAAATATAATTTTTATTCTATTTTATTCAAACTGTTTTTGTAACTTTTTCCTTTCGTTTTATTTTAATGTGTACGCGTTCCCTTCTCTTAACTAGTTCAACTATACTTTTCTCATAACAGGCATGGACTGAAACTAAACGCTGATTTCTAATATGTTTTACAAGTAAATGAATTAAGGAACAGATGTTTTCTATTACTGTTTTTTTTAATTTTAGAATTATAATTATTATAAATTAGTGATATTTTTCGCTGTTCGTTATTTCTTTCAAAAAAAAGCTATTGTGTTAAGTGATTCGATTTGTGAATTTTCAATACACTTTGTCCTATCATATAATTGTATTTTATGATTCTGTTTAACTGCAATAACTGAGACAGATTCTGTTAGCGTATTTTCGCGTGAATGTTTGCATTTGCTACTACCTAAAGTTGAGTGAACGTAATCTTAGTTATTTTATCTTTTCGCAACTTGTAAAAATTCTTTAAGCATTAATGCTAGTCATATATTACTATTTTCATTTTAGGAGTACGACCACATCGGTAAATTTTTAAACAGTAAAACAGACCCTTTAAAAAAGTTTTATAACGATTTGCTGCAGACGATATTTTATCGTAGCACTAAACTCTTTCGTCTTCAATTCCTAATTTTACCTCATAGATTATTTAAAAAGCATGGTTTTTGTACTCACCTATAAAGGCATGATTTTTACAAATACTCGCCGTATGTTTTTTTTCAAATTCAGGATCTGGTAACACGATTTTCCGTAAGAAGTTTGAAATTACCCTATATATAGATATAGTTAAAGTCGCGTTACTTGTGCAATTTTAAATTGTAATAATTTTATTTTTTGTTACCCATTTTTTGTAAATAGTTTCTAGATATTTTTTTTTCCCGTAAATATTTTTGTTTAATCTGGAGATACTTTTTGCGTCGACGTTTAATTTAGAGAGGTTGGTACTAAAGCTTGGCAACATCTTACTAAGTGCCATCGCGTCATTATAGGCTATTAACTTTTTCATTATTTGTTCTTTCTCGATTATTATAAAGTGTTTTGTTAAATTATCACAATTACTAGGCTACCTCGTATTTTGTAAGGTGTAAAGCTTTTTCGCTGAATCTCGATCGTCCAATTGCTTTTTAACTCAAATTACACAAGCCTGAATATGGACTTAGAATTTAACATAACTTATAATATGTCATTTTATAATACACAATTGCTATATAGATATAGTATTTTTTTTAACATTTTCATTCCATGAACTATGCTACTAAATCAACAATTCTGGCAGGTATTCCTTATTAATTCATTACACTTTTAACTTTTGCGAGCCCTTCAACTAGTGATTTCCTGTTATTATTTAGCAATTCTCTTTCATCTCACATGTCTACAGTTTTTCAAATGGGAGATGACATGAAACAGATAAAAAATGCAATGCGGCAGTTTTTTTTTTTTTTTTTTAGTATTCTGTTTTTCCTGTTGCCTTTGCATTTTTAGACAAATAACGAGTTAGCTCCTCGGCGCTTAAATCTTAGAACAAACTGATTTTTCGTGCCTACAGCAGTGTTTCCCAAACGTATGACATTTGTGTACCCTTTCTATTTCGTAACGCTGTGTGCCACTAATAAAAAATGACTATTTTTTGCTGTAAAAAAATTGCACAAAAGTTAAAAATCACAGCTGACTGTTAGCACCACTACTTATTAACTGTTAACTCTGCAAAAAGTAACCAATAAAAAAAATACATAATCGTAAATTTTCATAGCTAGCTTTGTTTTTGAATTTAAAAAAAATTAAATTTTCGTTTGGTGCAAGATATTTCGCATAAGAGCGCGTACCCCCTCTGAACTGCGTTAGTACACCTGGGGGTACACGTACCACACTTTGGGAAACACTGCCATACGAGAACGCGAGAGCTGCCCCGTTTAGTGACACAAAGATTAAAGCGGTTTGAGTTTATGGTAGGTTCCCTGATTGCGTACATGTTCTGGTTCGCAGCGTACACCACGCTTGTCCAATGTTATTTGTCCTGTGCAGTTAGTCCAATCGCTTTTTTTCTTCTACTATTTGTGCATTAGAATGTAGGATACTCTGTCGACCTGAGAAGTCTTACTACATAAAGGATTTTGGAAAATTGAATGGTATAAGCGTTGTCCGAGATCAAGGCCGTCTAATTACACATGCCAGCAACTAAAACAACCACAATACTTTGATATATATATCCAGTTAAAACACCGCCTTCACGTGCGCTTAAATAAAGTGGAGCGCTATTCAATTTGCAGTCAAATTCCGCTGCAGAAATATTAATTTAATGAATTGATATTTCTGAGCTTATGTATTAGCTAGCCTGTCATAGTCAGTAAAGAATTAACCACTTAATCGCTGAAAGCCGAGCCGTTAATGTAATTTCGTACATTTGAGTAAATGAAATTACGTAATTTTTTTAAAATTTGCAGTACAAATATTTATTGTCCTTTAAATGACCATACTTGTTAACTTCGAAATAGTTTTTTTTTTTCTTTCATAAATTAATTGCTTTCGTAAAATGTCTCATCTTTTGTATTTATCGGTACGGCAATGTGACGGTATTTCTCGAAGTTTCAAAATGTACATAAAAATCATTTTTTCTTTCTTCCCAAACAAAAGTTATATGCTTTCTGTAGCATTAGACTAATACAGTTCTTAAACTACGTAATTATTTGTAGAAAAACCGTTTAAATAAATACATATCTCATATCTGATTCGTATTATTTTATTCAAAGATAGATTAAAAGGGCACATTTTCAGAAGGAACTGCTTGTCCATTTATTGCAATATATTTATGAAACACCAAAACATCCTGCAAGATTCTAACCTGTATTCGACGGTATTAAAAATCTGGATACACTGAAGGAAACTTTCTCATTAACTTCCATCATATATCTTAGATGGGCGCCATGTTTTCGAAACCCCACTAAAGAGTGAATTCCCTAGGCAGTAGTTTATTACTTTGAGTCATGCTATAGTGCGTGGCTTCTGATAACCCTCCTTCTATGCAAAATGGTGGAGTCCTTCCATTTCTCTGCATTCTCCTCTAGTTTTACCCCTGCTTTCATCAATTTATCTTTGGAAAATGGAATACCAGGCAGCATTTCAGCAAACTATTTCGGGAAAGAGTATATGGAATTCGCTGTTGAAAAGGACGATTTTCGAATATTCCAATCGTATTGTTCCAAATACAGTCGGACTTCTATTTAACGAAGTCGCTAAATCCCGATAATAAGTTCGTTATATGGAAAATTCGTTAAGTAGAAAATCACCTTTTGAAATACTTAAACGACGCAAAACAGGTTTTAAATTCATAAACACTAGACATGATTAAAATGGTAATTGATACGCCTTTATCTAGTAAACTAGTATCTACCATTTATTCTCTCATAAATCTTAACCATAAAAGAAATCTGCATGAAAAGCAAGAATAGAGTAAAACATTATCCAGTGTTACTCTATCATGCTACATACATTTTCAACTAAAAAAAGCTAAATGTATGTATAAAATTATAGTTACATTTATTATAGTAGTAATTTAAAACATACATTACCGCACGCGTTCATAAGCTTAATTGCTACTGATAAAATTCGTTAATTTTATCGAGTTTTTCCTTTGAAATGCAAACACAAGGGTAAAGGGATTTCACTGCTTTCTCTAAAAGTTCAGTGGCTTCGAATAACAATTCAAGGTCATTTCCCTCATAAAATGCGTTAACTAGTTTGAAATGTTCTGAAATATTTTGGGAAATAGGGAAAGCGGACCTCAAAGAAAAGTTCGTTAAATAGAAAATTCACTTCGCTATTTGGAAGTTATTTCACGCATAAATTTTCAAAATGTTCTTGGTTCCTCGAAAAATTCGCAAAATAGAGAAATTCGGAAAATGGAAGTTCGTTAAATAGAAGTCCGACTGTATTCAGTTCTATTATTAAGCTATATTGCGGAATTTCTCTTGCTTCCGAAT